GGCTCGGGGGTGTCCCGGGGGGTTTCCCAGCCCCTCCGGGCTGCGCAGGGACGAGCCCCGCCGGGAGCAGCCGCTGGCACCGCCGCCCTCCCTCGGGAAGGACCTTTCGGGGTTCGCACGGGCCGACCCCGCTTTGCGGCACCGGGAGGGTGCGGAGCCCGAGCCCCCGGCCCTGGGACCCCAGGGGAACGCGGGGATCGGCTCCCAGGAGCCGGGACCGTTCGCACGGGCACTGGAGCAGCGTGGCCCCGGGGTGCAGCATCACCTGGCACCAGGTGTGTGGTACCTGGGGCTGCTCCTCCCGTGGCTGGAGCAGCGCAGCGATCCCGGCTGCAGAGCCCGAGCCGGGCAGCTCAGCCATCCCTGGGCCGGGCAGCCATCCCCAGGGAAGCTGCCGGGGCGTTCTTAGCCCCTGTGTGCTACTAACAGAACGACAGGGTCTCCTGGTGTGCAGCACGCAGGAGGCTCATCTTCTGACCAGGCAAGATGCCTTCAGCAGGTGTTGCTGTGAGCATGTTGATCAGCATCTAACAGGGACCTGAGCTGGTTGCCCCGGGACTCTCCAGTGTGTAAGTGGGAGCAGAGTGGCAGCTGAAACACGTGGGACCACTCCAAGCTTGCATGAATGAAAAACATTCCTTTGAGTAATTGGAAAAAACAATCTGGTTTTATGGAGAGAGGGGATCAGTGCCTCTAGACTGTAGGCTTGTACATTCTCAGTTTAATTCATAACAGTGGTACAGTAGCAATAAGCAGCAAAATGTGAGGTGACATGTCATCCATCTCTGGGACTTACTGCGTGGGTGGCTGGAGAGCTGCACCAGGGCTGGGGGATGTTCTGGGCACCTGAGCATGGAAGGTGCTGCAGCAAGACCTGTGCTGGTGCCAGTGGGGACCTCGTCAGCCCAGGCAGTGATCAGCAGATGAGGACACCCTGCCTTGTGGAGTCAGGATGAAGGAGGTGGTGACAGAAATCACTGACTCCAAGTGATGCTGGGGCTCTGGGTAACCCCATGGGAGTTCACATGAAGCACTAGGAAAAAACTGGTTTGTGCCTTGAATGAGTCAGGGTAGTGGATTCACCACAAAACAAGATGTTGGCACCTCAGGCTTGGCAGAACAGAATCTGTTGTGGTTTTTTTTATGCCTGGACACCCAGGTTCAGGTTTTCCATTGCCAGGTTGTCACTGTGATGTTGGGCAGCACTTGCAGATGACCACAGCTGCTGTGTCTGTCAAGGGGGGAGCCCAAACTCCACCTGGTTTTGGTGGTGGGTTTGCATGAGAACAGGCTCCAGGTCCCTGGGCTAAGTCTCCAGGGAGCCCATGGACCAGCAGAAGCCAAAACAGCTTTGTGAGAACATCTCACGGGCTGAGAATTTTCTGCCATGGTCTGAACTCCTCCCCTGTCAAGGACCTTCCACACACGTCAGCATGTCAGAGGTTTTAGAAACCTGCCTGTGGATTGAAGTGAGGAATTGATAAGCTGGTGTTTAGGGCTCTGAGAGTCACTTCATTAGTAACTTTCCTTCTCAAAAGCTTTATCAACTTCTGGAGGAAACTGCCCTGATAAGTCTTGAAGACAGAAATTACTGTGTCAGCTTGGAAGAGGGATTACAGATAACAGGGAATTAATACTGAAATGCACATGCTATAAATATAACAGGATTACATTCCAGTCTTATGTAAAACCATTTTCCCCCACCTCAGGTCTCCTTGGGTGGGCAGAGGAACAGAAGGCTCCAGCAGCAGGTCTGGGGGCCACGGTGGAGCCCGTGGGAACTGGGGCTCTCAGGGCACAGTTCTGCATTTCCTACCTCACTGCTTGCTCACAGCCACAGCCTGCTGGGCTGGTGACTCAGCTGCAGTCACAGCCCTTGCTGAGCAGGTCTGCGTGGGTCCTGGAGACCTGTGTGGGTCATCAAGACCTGGTTGTTTGGCACATGGTGGCCCAGGGCAGGGTGGGCTTGCCCAAGTCCGGGCAGCAGCACATCCCCAGCACCTCACTGCTGGGAACCAGTGCTCCTTGGGTCCCTGTGTCCCTGTTACATGTTGCCTTTGAAGTCATCCATGGCATTGTCCCAAGAAATATTTTTGTGCGTCCCCCGGGCTCTCCATCCCTCCTGGGTTGCTGTGGCAGGGCCAACATCACTGTGGCAGCTGGACTGGGCACAGAGCTCAGAGGTTGGGCTGGAAACGTGCCTGAACTGGCCCCGCTCCTTCTGGCTTCTCCTGGCTGCTTGTCCTTGGTGCTCATCCTCACTGGGTCTTCCCAGAAACCATGGCACCGTTCCTGGGAACCATCCCTTGGCACCCCCTTGAATTCCTCACTTCACCAATAGCTCTGAAGGCATCTTACCAGGGGCCTTTTGTGGCACTGCAGCTCAGTCATTTCAGGCAC